TTTTACTATTAATTTATAAAATTATTATTATTATTTTTAATTATTTTTAGGATGATGTGGAATTGAAACAAGACAAGAGGATGCCCCTGTCATTGGTATGTATTAATTAATAATAATTATATTTATTAGTTTATTAAGAGACTGGAGGGAGGAGCCCAGTGACTCCATTACCAGTAGAGGAAGACAGTTACATTGGAGAAGATAAGAAGAGAAACCATCAAAGGAAGAAGATGAAGATGGAGGAGGAGGAGGAGGTAAATGAATATAACAATTACTTTAGTATTGATGTACTTATGCTGTGTAGAAAGTTTTGCTGTGTAGAAAGTTTTAAAAAATGAGTTTAAAAATGAGTTTTAAAAGTTTAAAAATACGGCCATTTAAAAAAATGAGCCGAAATCTGAAAAATTCCCTGTACTATAGCCCATGGTTTTTTCCGAAAAATGGCTCCGAAATCACTCCCACTTTTTATTACATTTTCTGATACATATTGATGTCCTTATGCTGTGTAGAAAGTTTGAGCTAATTCCAACTTCAATTTTTAAAGTTACGGCCATTTAAAAAAATGGGCCAAAATCTAAAAAAATCTCTGTACTATAGCCCATGGTTTTTTCCAAAAAATGGCTCCGAAATCACCCCCAATTTTTATTACAATTTCTGATACATATTTGCATGCATATTATCATTATTTATTATTGTTGTTGTTATTATTATTATTATCATTATTATTATTATTATTATTATTATTATTATTATTATTATTATTATTATTATTATTATTATTATTATTATTAATAGGATCTCTCAGTATCTACCGCTGAGGCTCATAGTCATTCAGTTATTATTGCTAATGATCCTGATCCTAATAGACTGGCCTTGGCGGAAAAACAACCGGGGAATACTAATGAGGGAGGGAGGGGCAACTGGTGAGTGTTTACTGGCAATGAGATAGGGAGCATGTTGGGCTGGTGGGCCATGAAAAATTTAAAAAAAATTAACAAAAATTTTGACGGTAAGTCATCAAAAATTTATTAATAATTTGCATTAATTTTTTGTTATTATTTGTGAAAAATGGGTCCGAAATCATTCCCAATTTTTATTACATTTTCTGATGCATATTAATGTTATACTTACAGCCCATGCTTTTTTCCAAAAAATGGCTTCGAAATTAGCCCCAATTTTTACTAGACTGAGAAAAGATGGAGTGAGTGGAGCTGCTGTGGCTGGAGAAATGGCCGCCTACCTTTACTCTAATGGAGAGACATTCTCTTCACTGTTGGAAGACATTTATTTAAAATATGGTCGAGTTGTGTCAAGCAATTCTTATTTTATATGTGACTCAAAAGAAACGATAAAAGAACTCTTTGATGGACTGAGATAAGATGGACAAGTAATTATAATGAGGTATCTCTCTCTCCCTCCCTCCCTCCCTCCCTC